GTTTTACTGCTATCAGTTGGAGATAAGCCCCTGAACTCGCGCTTCCTGTAACAAGCGGTTCATCTCCAAAAAATTTAACTTTACATGAGCGTCCGTGAACAGTGGATCCATCCCCATTCTATTGCTGTCGTCAGTACTTCCGCCCCAAAGGCAGTTAAGTTCAGTGTATCCTCTCCATTAGCAGCCGAAATAGCTGTTTCCTCCTTACAAACCCCATCACTCTGCAATCAGCATATTCAGAAGTTCCGAGCAATTAGCAAGCTTAGGCGTACCACTGCGCAGCAAACGTTTTTCTTCAATTTTACCCTTCATAATGGCTTCTATTCCGTGCAAACAGCTATGACTTCTGCCTCTTCCAGCTCTAGGACAGGCCTTAAAATGAAAAACGTTTTCCTGTAGCCTGGTTTAAGCAGTTCTCTACGGCTTGAAGATGGCCCAAAAAATCAGGCTGTCCCTCCCCTTACACTCGAGCATTAATTTCAGTCTATCTTTGTTCTGAAGGACCAGGTAAGCGCCTGGTGAAATACCCAGCACCATCTTAAGATTCAGTCCGCTGAGAGAGTAAAGAAGCACCGACGCGTTTCCGCGGTGAACTGCCTAGTTAAATACATCAGTCTCATCTTACTAGTCAGCTTACTGTCACTCACCAATGCTCCTATCCTTTTCGAGAAACAAGTGTGATCAGCTTGGTTAACATAGGATTCAGGCCACTGGTACTTGGCCAGCCTGATAGGTGGCCCACCATGAACATTAGAAACATTCGGGAAATAATTATCATGTGCCTTATCACAAACGCTCCCAGATACACTGATAAGATCATGCAAATTGAGATTGTTAATCACTTTTGGACTCACCTCTAGTTGAATCAGTCCTTCAGTACTCCAAGACGCCGTCAGTCCTAGTGTTTGGCTGTTAGAGCACGAATCCAATGGTATTGGCTTTGGCAAGACACAACCTAGTGAAACAATCTAGTAACTGCAAACAGAGCCGGGCATAAACCGTAAAATGGTTTGAGGTACTTCATTGTCGATAGATCAACACCGGTGCTCCAAAACACCAATAATGAACGCCTAAGTCCACAACAACAGAAGCAACTTTTGGGTCTCTTTGTACAGCTGGTCACAAAGTCACGGCGGAAACTCATTGACACTCACTAAACTTTCGTAAAAGATGTCGTTATATTACTGCGCAATACTTGCAATCGTGTTGCTCCCACTTCCAGAGTGAGTTAACGAACGTCGTGATAGTATGGTGGGCCAACAGAAGTGAACTTGCTGCAACCAAAATTGCTTGAATGCTGCAGCGTCTGAACACCACTGACACTCCTATCCAGGCAGTGGTAAACCTTCCCCTCCAGCCACCATCATATTGTGGCAACCTATACCACAACGATAGATGCTTTCCGTCTGACCACTGTATAGGAGATCTTCATGGCATGGTAGGACCTTGGTAGAGCAAACGTCTCACTTGCATTCCCCTGTGATGTCGTGGTGATAACCAGGCCCGGTCATCACGACAAGGTAGTGGCTGTTGGTCGGCGAGGAGAAAGGCTGAATAAGTAGACAGTAATAAAACATTTAGGGCCCCGAAAATTACGGGCAATGTGTGCTCCTCCACCACTGTGACCGATTCCAACATATATCATCAATGGTCTCCGGCCAATAATTTCTATTAGCTTGATAACCTCACCCGAACAGCTGACACCTCGGCGCACGGCTGAGGCAAACACCCATCAAATTCGTAGGCTGGTGATACGTTACGTGAGGTTACTGTTGATTTTTCCTCGATCAGGTTGTACTTAGGCGAAAATCGCTCGTCCCAGAAAGCAGTGACGTGGCCTACGCGGCATTTAGCGCAGCTGTCTCAATCAATGAAGACTCGTTACCTCATAATCTGATGTATCTGCCCCGCCTAGTATTCTTCGTCTAACCTCAGCATTTCTCACACAGCGATTCTGAGGCATGCGATCTCTGTCACCAGGACCCCTTGTCAAATGGTTCTAGTTTTTTCGTTGTAAGATTTAAATATGGGTGCTATGGCACAGTATAACTACACATTACTTTGTCCGCTGAAGCGGATTCCAGAATTCTCGCCTTTTCCTACCCCATGTAGTGACTAAGATTCGGGGGATGTAAAGCTGTGGTCGGTGTGTTATGTCAAGTTAGATATCGAGTATGGAATTATGCCCTACCGCAGTATCAAAGTTTTAGTCCTACATTATTAAAACTTATTGTCTTGGCACTCGAAAGTCGGTCAATTAACTCACACTTATCGAACAAAATGAAGCAAGATACTTAGAGCATGATGTTTGTAACGTTTGATGCGTAAAGCCAAATCATTTCCGTATGTCTGTTGGCAAACTCGAATTATGACAGAGAGTGAGAATAACAACAGGACAGGTCAGAGCTCCATAGTACTGTCAAGAGATTAGTTAGCATATACAGTGAAGATGAGCAACTAAAATGCTAACTCATAAAGCAAGTGAGGAGGGAGACTATAAACTGCTGACGGAGAAACTCAGCTACTTTCGAAAAATTCAAGAAGACTCTAATACGAAAGTTGGACAAGTTATTAGAAGAAAAATAACTCGCATGGAAGAATGAAGTTACGAATGAAATCTTATCAAGCACTAGTTGAACAAAGTGGGTGGTCAGTCTCTCAGAAAGAGAATTAAGCTCGACTGAAGTAAACGTTCTCAAAAGAGTATTTAACTTCAACTCAGCAGCAACTCATTTCAAACCTGAGGATGCTGAGCGTGGCAGAGAAGTAAAATTAACCTCGGTAAATAAAAACAACTGCTGACCAGGTTCATGCGCAGTGTACACTAACACCCAAGGGAAGCGAAGAAAAAGTTAGACACAGGAAGTGCTGATACTGGTGGATTTAGAAATGATAATAAAACGGTAAATGTCAAATTTATCAAAGGTAGCTTGACAAGTCATGAATAACGTCAATTACCCAATGAAGGTCTATGTATTTATTGAAACAGGGCAGTATGAAGGAATTACTCAGCGTTTCGACGCAGTTATGCACGAAGTTAAAAAGTCCACGTCCCATCTAATAGGTCGAAGGGACCCATCCCTGAAGTAGGCTCAAGTACTGAAAAAACCTAAACGTGTAGAAACTCATACGAAGAGGGGATTTAAAAGGCAAAGTGTGACAAAGTAGTGTTGAAAGCGAAGACCATATTATTCCATCTGTAAGTAAGAGGATTTCAAAATTCAGAGCGTCATATGAACGATTTAGGACATATCTGCAGGTGTTTATCTGGTGCGTATTCTGCCTGCACTAAAAATGTAAAACCGTTCACCAATATCCTTCGAAAATGTTCTCTATTATCCGCTAGAAACTGCTGAGCACCAACATTCCTTTCACTTCTTTTACAGACCTCTGAGAAATATGTGAATTCATTTTATGTTAAAAATACCCAGGTATCGGGCTCCTTATTTCTTCCGTAACCTAAGGACTGGTTTCGGCTTCGTGATTCGCATGTATGTCCAGAAATACCGCCCGGATATGCAGTTCTTCTGTTGTGATTACATTTCCTTCTTTCTCAAAGTCACAAGTTTTATAGCCAGCTTTTCCGGCAGTCATTCTGATACAAATGATTTTTACCAGTCGATTTTATTCGAGGTGTTTAAATCTAAATTTGCCGCATTTTAGAAACCCAATTTATATGCAAATGCTCAAAATGAGCAGTATTTGTTCCGGCTTTTAAGTTGGTTACTTAGAGATAACGCACTCGGTGACGGCTGAAGGACAACTGCAATTAATGTCTTGGTAGGTAACGCCAGAATTTTCACTAGCGAACCATAAAGTTTGTACTATGCTTAGGAAAAATTTCTGTCCCGTCCCACTTCATTTGTTCTGCATTGTGTGGATGAGCTATAAATGGAAATAAAGTATGCATATTAGCATATTCAAATGTTATGCTTATCTAACAATTCCTCTCTGAATTTCAGGCGACAGTGTGCACAAACAGAAAGGATCTTATATTAGTGTATCATATATTCAGCAGCGATCTAGATGCTAACCTTTGTGATCAGCCGACTTTTTTCAGAGCCGGTCGTTTAAGAGTTCGCAAAAGGTTTCGAAAGTTACGGACAAGTAAACCAGAATTGGTGATAAACGTTGGAACTTCTTGCTGTGACTTGTGACAGCAGCTCATCTGGTAAATGGTTTTATGCAGGATTCGGATCTTCACAGAAAGAGACACTGCCAGTATTAATACAGACCACTCAACTTACTTTCTTTGAAACTGTAGGCTGAATAAGAGGCTACTGGACTACAAAAACAGCTTGAAAGTCACCTGGTTGCTACGGTGGGATTGCCAGTAGTGAATTGTGTCCGAACCTTCTTTAGACAACTTTGCACCATTCTGTGTTATAAAAACAATGAATATGATTTCAGATTATCACGTGTTTAGGATTTGTCCTGGTGCGAACTTGACAGAGGCAAAGACCAATCACTAAATATTCGGACTTGTTATATGCCCACGAATACGAGACCAAGGAAGAACATGATAGCGTAGTCGGATGGAATAATATATTTAGGTGGTTGTGCCAAGATACCGATGTGTTCCAACTAACTGGCTAGAGAGTCGAATACGAGCAGAGCGACGTAACACGGCAGCGTGCCAGATGGCGGGGATGCTTGGCCGGGCGCCTTCAGCTTAGCGAACCCAGTTAAACTATCAAGATCAGCATCAATGTCGAAAGTCGTCAAACCCTAGGCTATTGATTTTGGTGAAGTGTGTGACGCTACATATTCACAGGTTTTGCTTTTTTGCTAAGTTGGTCGCCAGAATCTACATTTCGAATTTTCTAACCTGAAAGCAATCACCTTATACGTTATTCGTAGATTTAACGCAAATAAATATAATTCATGTCTTTGAAATTTTAACTGTCGTTTCAATAATTCAAAACCACAATTGTTTGGTTTGCCCGCCGGTTAGGAGGCCGGTGTCTGTTCATGTTTTCGTTAGACGAGTTCTTCTCTGAATGGTTCAGATGCACTTCCTTGGTAAGTCACTGCGTGATATGATTTTAAAGAATTAGCTCCATACAATTGTCCCAAACACTCTTGATTTAGGTTGGATTGGGCGACCTGCCGACTTTGATGCTCAACTCTTTGAGTCGGAGGAAGTTTATGCAGGACTTCCCACGGTATTCAACTCCAGGAATATAGCGAAGCAGCTTGATAAGTGTTTGAAAGCATTGCAAGATGATCGAAATGGCTCCAGTCAGTCTGTTCGCACGCTCCTTACTCGAATTGAACTCCTCGGTACACTGGCCTCTTGTCAAACCCTCGTGAGTTTTCTGGTTCGAAAAACTTCCTAATGAGCAGTATCAAAACATTGAGAACCTCATAGTTGTAAAACTTTGTGAACCTGCGTTATGTTCGAACATGTGTTTAAGTTCTTTTTCAGTAAGCTTTTCATTAATTGCTTTTGTTAAAAACGAATGAAGCTAGCTCATCAGTGTTGAACTACAGAGTATTTTATTTCTTAAATTTGTACTCCATAAACTTAAGTCATCCTGAACAGCCTATGTTTTAGTTAGAAATGCAGATGGTTGTTCACTCTGTGATAATTGGATTTCTATTGACTTAATTTCGTACTGTTTCGGTGTCATTGCATCAACCCATTCTAGTGAGGTAATGCTTCAAGGCCCCAGATTTGTTTTGATGAGGTTTCTTTAGTAACATTCTCACATGCAAGTGGAGATTGCTTGCGAGATATGGTCTTTCTGTAAGCTGCAATCTGGCAAAAAAAAGAGTCAACTAGATAAAATCAGTTTGCACTTAATTTGAATTGTGCTGCATTACTGAGATAGGCATATGTGAAGCTTAATTTTAAGTCCTGGCCTACACATCTTTGCATTTTATCTGAACGTATACGATTTGAAAACCTTAAAAGTACTAGATAACGCAAATCTGAGATATTTGCCATATCTTCTGATTTTACTTGGTTTCAAATACTACGTTTTTCAGCTTGGTTAGCATTGGTGTGTTTGAAAAGTGTGCGAGTATTTTCCCACTGTTATCACTCGTAGTAAGTAATGCTCATACTAAGCGTGGAGTTGCGTCTGTCCAGAATGCCGAAAACACATCCAATACGTAATTTTTTGTCTTTTTTTTTTTACACTAATAAATCTCGGGTTAACGAATTCACCCGAGCAACTTGCATTTCTGTGGAGGTGTAACTTGTCTCAGTAGTGCTGATGTTTAGTCGGCTCAGGCAGTTCATATTGCGGAGTACCGTGTTTTACGTAAGCGCGGAAGTACGCCAACACTGCAGCAACCTTATACATGATGCAGGTGGATTCATTCCAATTATAAGTCATTTTTACTCCGGACATAGAAGTGCTTCAATCAGTGGATGACTTGACATCGGGTTTTTATTTCTAGTAAGAGTGTAATGATTTGCATGTCCTGATTATTAAACGATATGGATTACAGTGAGTCCTTGAAAAGTATTTCACATGGTCTGCGGTCACATTCACCACATGTAAAGTAAGTCAATTCAGTACAGATATTAATGCACTAGATTATGAACCACACTGTGTATACTACCCGGTCGCCCAAATGGAATGGGATTTGAACCAGTGACCCTTTACTTAAGAGTCGGGTGCTTAATCTTATGAGCCTCAGCTGCACACAGTGTTGACCCTGTTTATTCCATAAAGGATTTTTTGTCGACGTAAAACGTTTAGTGTTGGTCTGACGAAAACTATCGAATTCATGCACGAGACTGTGGTAAAAAAGTGAATTGTGGTGTCGGGTAAGAATCGTGAGTGTGGTGTTCATTAATTTTCAATATATGAAATCCCTAATTTCAACACAGAGAATATCAAGTAGCTGTCACTGCACTTTGTTTTGCACACCATATCAAGCCGACTTTACAAAATGAATTCGCACAGAATATTTGAACAATTAAGTTGAAAGGTTAAATGTCAAGAAGTAGTTGTCAATATATGGATGCAGCACAATTAATTATCGATAAATATTGAGACCCAATTTTTCATGTCAAATGGAGCTATGATTCAATAGTTTAAGGAGGTGACTACCAATCATTGGGTCATAGTTTCGAACCTCTCCCTACCTACCGAGGTTTGCGCAGTCAAGTAGCATCACTAGCCCTCACACAATAGGCGTGGCTCATTGCCAACTGCCTGGATGTGCACGAGGTGGCGAATGCGCTTCATTAAACGCCAAATGGCACGTTTCCGGTTGAATGCAAATCGACCTTCAAGAAATGTTTAAAACATATGCTTCAATAAGACCATCGTGTACCATCAGACTTCTGCTGTTGCTTTCACTAATTTGTATTTTATTCTACTGATCGAGCAGATATGTAATCTTTAAAACTTGAATGCAGTTTAGAATTCATTGTACTTTCATGTAACTTATGCAAATTTTTTGAAGTTCGAATTAGAATCATCAATATGGAAAGTTATGTTCACAGTCAGCTATAACTCTGGAAGGTATTTGGATGCTTCATTCGCTCTGATAAATTATGCTTTTTCGAAACTGTTCTCACATGAACAGAACGCTTCGGACTATGAAACTCTGAAGTCAGTTCGCAACGAAGTTCTTGCAGCTGTTCAGGATAGTGAGAGAATTCTTGAATCCTCTCAGGAGACCTGTTCAACAGGTAGACTGACTCCACATGCACAATTTCAATCGGTGATCATATCACTGGAAGAGCATATATCAAACACTATTGTAACGTAAGTCACTACGTATATAATTTGTCACTTACTATTGTTACCTTTTTACATAATTATCATAATAACTGTGATTATCAAAAACTTTTGTGATATGCTAAATGGCATTGGCACGTATATGCGATAAAAATGCTTCCACACAACATAATAGTTCCAAATTTGTTCAAAGTTTTGTTGACTATTGAGAACTAAGTAGCGTGCCTTTTTCACGTTCAATGACCCCATAGTCACATACTAGCGGCGGCAACCTGACCAAGTAAAGTGACAGACAATACACTGGAAAACTCCGAAATCCAAGCTGTTAACTGACTGAGCGTTACGAAAAATGGATTACAACGAGAAAAAAATTTCTAACTGCGGTGATTCTTTTTAGGAAAATCATCAAGTTCCCAGGTACGACTGAGGAGCAGATTCAACAGAAACTAACAACCAGCCAAACAATTTACGAACGGAATCAGTTCGTGCACAAAATCATACTGGATGACAGAAATATATGAATGATTCATGAACAAGAATAAGAGAAAATGTTCAGTGAACAGAAGTTAGTGGTTGGGTAGTAGAGTTAGATTGGAAATGAGCAGGAAAAACAAATTCAACGCCACCTCTCGAGGCAATATGGCTTCCTACTTCTCCACACCCTGCCCGGGAACCGAACCCTAGCAGAAATGGTACCGTTATCTCTAAATATGAGAGTAGAGCATGGGTGCTGTGATAGAATGTAACTATTTTAGTTGATCTGTTAGATGTGTCACGCAGTGAAAACAGTATTTATTCGCTTACATGTCAGACACGATTTATTTTCCATAGTTGCTTCAAGGTAACTCCACAACTTTGACAAAATGTTTACATATTTCGAATTCTCTCTTCTTTGTGATAACTTGTTGCAACCATAGAGGTTGACCTGATGGGTAAACCTACTTTCATTGTTTCTATTCTTTCCAATAGACACAACTTTTGAAAGTCACGTCGTACGGGGCCTAATGAAGTCTGGGCCTTCGTTCCACCTACATGTTCGTAACTCCTACCCATTACCTTTGTAACGATCTTCCTTGACCAGATGCTGCAAGACTCATTTTCCTCAAGAATTGATACTTCGTCTCGCATATCCTTAGTTCCTAGTCTTCCTTGGCGTCTGTCGGTCAAAATTCCTAGATCTTGAATTTCTTTTACCTCTGCTGCTCTTAATAAAGATCTGGGTTCACTGAAGCCTCGTTCCCAACTGCACATTCGAGCTTTCAATCCCTGATCCCTGCATCAAATCAGCTAACAAGCTTCTCCAGCCAAAACTAGCATGTCAAGCCATGTATGTGTTGTGTTTGTAATGCACATAAAAACACGAACGAAGTACAGATGTTCCTTTAACCTCACCTAGTCATCGTGATGAATGTGCAAAATTCACTCATCAGGTTTCTGGAAATTTGACGACTAGTTCTCGCATTCATGCAGGTGTAGGTATAGTTGTAAATGCTACGGCAGAAAGTTCACTGCTCGACTTTATCCAAGTTGACAGTCGTCTATGCTCTGTTTGACTGAACGGCGCAGCGAGGACTGTTAAGAGTAGAGAAAAGGGCCGTTATTTATTTGTAACATATGACTACAGTTCAGATGCAGTGAAGGAAGAATCCTACTAAAGACTATCCAGCCTCGTGCTAAATGTCCAGATGTGGTTGTCGTAACAGGTGATTTCATACCCATATGCACATATGGGTAGGCTAAGTCTAACAGAAGCCACTTAGGTGATCCCCACATTCTGAATCCTAGCTGAACGATTTCCTACTGGGAGGTGTCAACTGACCGCATGGTCCTAGTAGTATTCGAGACGCAGTCAAACATAATCTATCCATCTCAGCTCTTTCTCTTCCTGATATAGTGTTAAGCCTCTTACACCTTACCCAACCTCACTCTCCAATCACTGTGAACAATCAAAGCCATCGAAACCTCATTTCTAGTCTCCTAAGACTAGCCACCGATTTCATATCGGGGCTTTTAAGGTCCAAACTCTATTCCAAATCGGACAGCGAGCATCGCTCGCCAAAACTCTGGAATTTGGAGCTATGCATGTATGCTGTCTCTGAAACACATACTGAAACCATGTGTGGGTATTTAATTGATCTTCACCAGCCGTTGTAGTGAATCTTCAAAAATCACCTTCACAGTATCCGGAGTTCCAATGACTAGCTCACATGGACTCACTGGAGTAGGCATAGGATTGAATTGTAGAGCAGAAAGCACACTGACTGAATACAAGTAAACTGGGGTCTCTACACTGTTCGACTGAATTTATCTGTAAGAACTAGGAAGGTTCATGGGACTAAGTGATGCCTATTTGCAATGACAACATACTCATCCACCGAATGCAGATCGGAAGATGTAAGGGATAGATTCTATGAGAAGCGCACACGTTTACGCAAACTTAAATGCTGAGTTATCGTTTCTGATGAATTTCATCATAAGCTGTCAATTTCGCCACAGAAATCGCATCTTTCAAATCTAGTCATAATTGCAGGTGACTTTAACAATCAAGTATGGAAATTGAGCCAATGGAAAAGACATCTTGGGTGTATTCATGAAATCCCTTGCCAACGGACCAACAACGCTGGTCTTCTGTTATAATTTTGTTCTTTCAATTACTTGTTCCTGACCAGCACTAACTTCAAGCATAAGGAAGAAGTGCTATCCCACATGGCGTCCACTGAAATCAAGCTAACGATGGACACACATAGATCACATTACTACACGCCATCGTTGGAGAGGATCGGTGGGGGATTGCCGCTCTGTTTGGAGTGTGTGGCTGTAAAGGGAATATCAAGCAAGCATGTAACGATAATCAAAGCTCTTTACTGAAATTCACGCAGTTGTGCATGGGCTTATAGAGAGTTGTCATCAGAAATGGCGACAACTAGTAGTGTCTGTCATGGCTTCTGTTTAACTTCGTTCTAGGCGTACCAACATACAAAACTTTAGGTATGTTTGACTTCACAGGGATTGATCTACTCCCTGGAGGTCATGGGCTGACTTGAAGTATGCAGAAGATCTTTTTTCGTTGATGTTGACAAAATACAGGGTCTTTTGAGTGAGTTGAGGAGAAATCTGAGTATGTTTGACATGTCTTTCGCACCTGTCAAGTGTGAGATAATGCTTCGGGACTAGTTTGCAACAATAGGGAGTGGAGCGAAGGATAGTGTCTTCCACTTCAATCACCTGGGGAGTTGCACTAACCTGAACGGACTGGTTACTGACTAAATCTCACCTAGGACATAGAATACCCTTTTGACATTTGCCAACTTGCATTATCTGTGGTCCCGGCGAGATACCCGACTATCTATCAAAGGACGCGTATACTACGCTGGAATCCGTTCTGTTCCCTTATACTCCTATGAGACATGACCGTTAAAAGTAGAAGACATGAGGCGGTTACAAAGTTTTTATCCACGGTGTCTTCGTAGCATTGCTCGCGTCTGGTGGAGTCGCCGTGTGATCAATGTTGGAGTCAGGAGAAGAGTACTAAGCAAGATAGACAAGCCGATTGATGAAGTTGTAAACGTTCACGAGCTGAGATGGCTTGGGTATGTGTTACGGGTGTCGAGCAGCTACCTACCTGGACGTTCAATGCTAGGGGAAGTTGGATTAGGTTTGTAAAGGGTTCCGAGTGGTCGGACAAAGACGTGGGACCAGTCGACGAAGTCCTTGAATGTTGACCTGAGTGGTGTTGGGAGATGTAGACCGCCGGGTGAGGTACCGAAAACAATTGGAATAAGTGGTTGGAAACCTTTGATGACGTGACCGAGAATCGATCACAGTGACGCAGATGTATATTCATTCATTGACGTCTTTTTAATCTTGAGTATTTGTACTAACCGTTATCTTCAAATCGTTTATTCTGTCACACAACTTTGTCTACCTTGATATCAGTCTTTTTCTACCTACTTGTTCTTTGCATGGTATTGCAATGTGTGATAACTTAATCTGATGCACTTGTATGCCAGGTTCAATGTTGATTTGACCTGTCTTTCTCATGTAGTTTAAGGTAAGTGCTTTTCTAATCACTGTCTGCAAAAGTAACTAGATGTAAGACGGGTATATTAAAGGATAAAATGACTGACTGCTGCTTGCATAATATCGCCTTTAATATCCGGCAATTCATAAGCAACCTGACTGACTGTGAAGGTTCAGAAAGAACCACTAAAGAAGTAAACTTGGTCGGCAACCCAGTATATGTCCGTGCATTAAGCAATATACCGCACCCATTGTGTGGGAGATGATGATGCTACGTTGCTACACAAACGTCGGTAGGTGAAACAGGGTTTGAATCGTTTGTCCTCTAGTTTAAGACCAGCCTCCTAGACCAATGGCTCTCTGCTCCAATCAGTAGACATCTCAAGTATTTAAGCGCCATAAAGCTTATTGTTCAGAGTATCGGCTTCAGATTCTTAATGAACAGACTAGTTGGGGATCGAGTAATTTGTTCAAGAATATATGGCAGATGGAGCATATTCCATAGCCCTTGAATAAGACCATAAATAGACTCCTCATTAAAAGTATTTATACAGTGTGTTTGGTAATCCTTGGGTACTAGTCTGCTGCTACCACTTGGTTCCAAAATATTGACTGCCGTTATATTACTCTGATTTCATAAAGTATGTGAAACTAATTCCAAAGGAAACCTAGCTTTGTCTAATTTAGTGACGCATAGATGTGTCCACCCTCCACCCAGTGCTTAAACGTCGCTGCACATTTCTGACCAACAGTTTCTCACAGGTATGTCATCAATTAGTTCTGCCGGATTGCGCCATGCAACTGTCGCAGGAGGTGTGCTCGAGTAATATTAGTGTCTGAATAATCCGAGGACGTACACTAGAAGTCGATATCTATGTGTCACAGTCTTTTTGAGTTTTGTTATGTCACTGACTTGACGGTTTGGCTGATGTTTGGGTTTCCTTTCAGGTCCTATGGTTAACGAATTGGGGAAAATGCCCAAACGATGATCTTTATTATTATCCCTCGAGTTACTCTGGTCCAGTTATTCTACAACCACTAACTTACACCGGCTGACTCAAGAGAAGATGAAGTTGGATGGTTAACCCACACAATGCACAATTTATTGTGTATATTTAAATGTATGGGAGGTGCACAAGGCCATTCAAGCGCAAGTGGCCCAATCAGAAATGTGAAGGATATTGATTAGTTGTGGCTCGCATTCCCTCTGAGCTACATATCCAGTGCGTCATATGATGGATGCTGAAAATTGATCTACATCCTGTTGTTTGGCTTTTAATCTTCTTGACGTTCAAATGACACAGGCTAAGCGCCATGTTTCTTATGAAAGTGAGACTCCAAACTTATGTTTCAGCTCCCTGTCTTTGCCTTAGATAGCATAATTTCTAGACCAAGTCAGAATTTGCGGCATTGAAGGCTTCGGTCTTGATCTCTATTGTTATTATTTATTATTTGTCCCTTGGTTCCTTGTGGAACATACGGCTTCAGTAGCACGTCGCCATTTCACTCTCTTCTCTGCAGTCTTTTGAACCTGGCTCTACGACCGCCCACAAGCTTTCATTTCTTCCTCACATGATCTCCTCCATGTCACATTCAGCTGGGACGCACAACTCATCCTTTCCTATTTGGCTTCCACTCGAGCACCTGGGCTGGCGCGTGATGTCCCCAGATGGTGTTCTCAGTGTATGCCCAATCCGTCTCCACTTTCTTCTGCATATTTGTTGGGCGACAGGTTTTTGGTTGATTGCCAGCCAGCCAGGGTTCCTTGTTGCTTATTCTCTCTAGTCATTTGGTCTTCAGTATCGAGTGAGCGTAGGCGGCAGCTGTTGATGTATATCTGTAGTTTGGTGGAAATGCGTTTCGTAACGCGCCAAGTCTCTCAACCATCACTAGGAAAACACTGACTGAATTATTGTTGAAAATCCGGACCTTGTTCACGCTTTATGCTGAGTGCAGTGGAGTGGAGTAGATCTCCACACTGATGTCAGATAAATGAAAGTCTGTCTTGGTGTCTTTCCGATCCTGGATTTGACGTCCTCATCTAAGCGTGTGCTGCCTGTAGTCGAAACGATGCTGCCTATGTAGGTAGGTGAAAGAAGTTACTTCTTTTAGGTTTCTCCAGTTGATGGTGACTGTTGCTTGTTGTTGTTGGTTGGGTATCTTCATCACCTCTGTCTTCTCTGTTCTGCCAACTTGTTGGTTTTCACCTGTGGATCTTCGAGTTTGTGAGACAAGATATTAAACATAAATCATCATTGGCGACGAAATCCAAATCTTCTAGGCTCTTTTCATCGGTCAAACAGCGTATCCCCTTCTTCTCGCTCCTCACAGTTTGCTGCATGATCCAGTCGACCACAGTAAGGAAGGTCATCGGTGATAGTAGGCGGCAGTCTTGTCTTACTCCTGTCCCCGTCTTCACCTAAAAGCCATCACTGAGCTTTCCATAGTGAATCACTTGGCATGCAGCATCATATAGCATATAGGTGCTGTTGAATGAGGTTGATAAAGGCTTGTGGCACTAAAACCGTAGTGTCAAGGCAGTAGCCTGTCAAATGACTTCTCGGTCGACGCTGTTGAAGACCTTTTCAAAGTCGATGAAGTTGAGTTGACTGGCATTCTATGCACTGTTCTATGATGACGTGTAGTGTTGCGTTGCAATTTGATCTGCACATGTTTTGTTCTTCGTGAAGCCAGCTAACCAGCCTGTTCTGGTCGTAATTTTGAATCCAGCGCATATTTTGGTCTGTCCAGTATGATAAGGTTTAATATTTTGGTCTGGGTGGACAGGGACAGGAGCATGATTCCTCACCAGTTCTTGCAAAGACTAAGGTTGCCCTTCCTTGGGAGTTTGACAAGGTAGGCCTTCTTCCAATCAATCTGCAGGTACCTTGCCTTCCTACCTTCCAAGCCTTCTGTAGCAGTGGTGTGGGCATGTCGGTTGTTGTCTCTGCTTCTGTTTTCAGTGCTTCTGGAGGAATTCCATCCGTTCCTTCTGCTTCCTCAGATTTCAGTAACGTTATGGTGTTCAGGACGTCACTCCTACTCTTGTCGCAGGGTTTGTGTCCACTGATGATTCTGTGGCTGGGCTGTTGGCCGTATTTCTGGACGAGTTGCATGTGGTGAGGTGGTCGATTCAGTAGTCTTTTGAAGTGGACAGCCCATCGTTTCCCTTGTTTCTCTTCTTTGGTAACTAGGTTTCTTCCAATATCTTTTATTGGTTTCATCTGTGTTGATCTCTTCCCAGACAGTTATTTGATATAATGTTGTCAGGTCTCTCCTACCTTCAATCTGTTCTGCTTCAGTTGCAAGTATGTCGTAGAAGTGTCTTTTGTCTTTCCGTGACCTCGTCTTCACTTCTTCGCCCCCATGTAATGTTTTACATGTTGTATTCAGTTCCCGTTTTCGTTGTTCATCAATGCACTGCACTGGTTCATCTTCTTCTCCCTCTTCTATCAGCTTCCATATCTTCATGGAGATCCATTCCTTGCCCTGTTTCTTTCTTCCGAACACGGTTATGCAGGTTTCCCTCCACGTCTCTTTCAAAGAATTCCAATGTTCTTCCACGCAAGTTTCTACATAGATGCTGCTTAATATCTTCCATTTTTTCCTGGTGACTGACTGACGTGAAGATGTCCTTCGTAGTTCCGTCCTTCAGTTCAGTTTCTGTTCTGGGTGTTCAACTTGAACTGTGGTCTATCACCAACTTATGTGAAGGCTTTCAACCTGATTTTGGAGGTAGGTTCCTTGCACTAGATAGTGAGTGGTGTGAACCCACATCTGCTCCCCTTCCGGATCTGATCTTGTGTCCAGTAGACTACGCCTCTACTTTCTTCAGATTGAGATGAAGTCGATCTGGTTTTTAGTGTGTCCTGGTGTCTGGTGAAACCCATGTCACTACCTTGTGAATATCCTTGTGTTTGTACACACTACCTCCAATCACTAAATCTTTGAATGCGCAGAAGTCTGCAAACACCTCTCCATTCTCATTCATCATATCACCGAGTGCCTCTCGACTCATGATTGGTTCTCTTCACGTGTTGTCTCCTCTCAATTTGGCATTCATGTCACCCCACCCATTAGAATCTTGATGTCGCCAACTGGGTTGGGGTCTTGTCCACTACTGATTGCAGTTATCTATAGAATTCCTCCTTTTTCTCTTCATCTGCATTACTTGTAGGTGCGTAGCGTAGTATTGTATGATTGTGGCTTTCTTTCCTTTTGAGTTGAATCCACCTTGCGGTCATGATCCTGCAGGAGGAGATTGGTTCTCACTGCCTGAGAGCCTTCGATGCTGTTGGGGACATCATGATAGCCACTCCAAAACGCAGTGTGCTCGTGGTTGTCATCTGGGTGAAAATATCGGAATGGCTTATTGACTCTCCAGTTAACAGTTTGGAGAGTCCACTCCCATTCTATCTGCTTTCGCAGATTCCCAGAACTTCTGCGGCACATCTCATTTCTTTGGCAATCTGGTCAGCCTTGCCAGCCAGCTTCAAACATTGTTCCGGACATGCTTTGTCCCCATTCATACTTTCGCTTTCATCGAGAGAAGATATCGGCCTCCTAAAGGCTTTCACCAACCTGTGTCATTTCATCTCTCCGATTCCAGCGAGGAATAAGTATGTTTTTGTTTTTATATTTTGTCTGTGTTTTGAAGTTTGTTTAGTGATTGGATTGGTTTTACAAGGTAGGGTTGCTAGCCCTATGCCCAACCTTCCCTCTTTCTCCTGGCTTACAACTGGCTAGTAATTTGTGAACGACTTAAATAGGGTAGATCGTTGATGTGTGCAAACAAGAATTTCTGGAGTGTTTCGGTGATGCCCTCTTACCCTTGTAATTGTAAAAAGGTTTATTTTAAATGTGTGCGCAAATCGTTCAATTTGACCCTTATATTGAGAATGCGCTAGTGGTTCACGGTTAGCGATATATATATATATATATATATATATATATATATATATATATATATATATATATATATATATATCCTTTGTTGATTATTAGTACGTACCGTTTTTTGTAATGTAGCTCGAGCCGGCTGTATATTTTTTTTCTGTCTTTGCAAGTGGACAGGTTTCTCTGCCAATCTGGACCTAATTCGACTTCAGTATGAGGAATTCTTCAGTGGAAAGTCATGGACTGTTGTCTGTGCTCGTGGCTACTTTTATTGGTTGCATCTTCACGCTCGCTGCTTATTTGGTGGCAGTTATGAAGTATCCCATGCATCCGACGTACCAGGCATTTCTCAGAAGTTTCCCCCACCGCCTGTGTCTCCACTGCATGCTGCAGTTATTGTTCGTATGCACGGTCAAACGCTGGTCAAATTCATGCGTCAGTCTTGCGAATACAAGTTACAAAATCGATGCTCTGCTAGAAATCTCAAGAATTCGGCAGACACTGAAAAAGAAAACAAAGATCCTACCAATGGCCATAGAAATTCAGAACCATCAGTTAAAATTTTGTCACCATCGTCAAATGTAGAGTTAGCAACCGTTGCTTGGTCGTCCGCTTCCTTAACAGGTTTCAATTGTTTTGTTTTTGCTGCAAAATTTAATTTTTATATTAAGCTTATTACAAACAATAAAAACTTAGTGTATGAGGTATGACCAGTTGAAATGAACTTTTCAGGGTTATTTATTGATCTTTCTGGCCGTCATAATCATCGTGTACATTGTCAGGGTACAAAATGTAAATAACATTTACTCTGTGGGTGTAACTTTTTCCACTGTCTGTTATATGGTGATTTGAGTAGTACTTTCATAAATAAATTTTTAACGTTGATTGATCATCTAAAAAATTATCGAGTTAAGTATGCAATTGCAGATAAATTCACCTGTACATTATAAATGGTTGATTTATCAAACGTAGCTAAACTGAAACAAAATTATTACTGACATGTATTTTAGTGTTGCACATTAGTAGTCAACAGCTAGCAACTTATATTTTCTTCGTACTTTTTTCTGCATCCTAATTTTTCCTGAGTTTTTAAACCTTTATTTAATCCTAGTATCCTTACAATGTCCCAGTTGGTTGCATTCAAATGTGTTGCCGCTCAATAACATAAAAAATAACTTGAAGCCATCATTATTAGTAGTTGTAGTCATGCATCCTTTCGATCAACCGAAGAAACTTCCTCCCTACTCTGGTTCACTTATTTTCCCTATAATGATAAACTTCTCCTATAAACACTATGATCCACTGTCAGCATCAAATCTTATATTACTGCGTGACCACCCTTCATCAGCACACTAGGGTAGAAGGCACCAAGATGAAATAGGAATGAAATAGAAAGTCAGAAGTAGAGAAAGTGATACAGAGAGAGAAAGGAGAGGTAAAATGATAACGAAGTTTGATACGATGATTCGCATAAAGATTTTATATATATATATATATATATATATATATATATATATATATATATATATATATATATATGCATCTGTGCATATTGCCCAGAGTCTCCAGATATAGACTTCTGTTCTCATGTCGACCCCAACCTGAAAATCTTAATTTCCCTTACGCAATTCAGACCAACAGTGAAAGACTTCATGAACTGATCTCATGTTTTAGCGGTTAGTGCTCCTCTCTATTGTACCATTTTTATTATGTCTCTAACTTAAGTCAAGAAAATTCAGCTGCTACTTCTCTTCACATTCCATTGTAAAATTAATACTATGATGTGCGTTGTTGCGATGTTTGAGCAGCTTCCTCGTTTGTTGGACGTTTTCATAGATTTCCCATTTATGTATGGATAACCAAAAGTGAATAAGACGGACAACCGGCGAGGTCTATCCTGTCTATGGTTAACTCTGTACATCGTAAGCTTTCTCGTTGGTTAGAAAAAAATTTGGAAAAAATTCACCAGAAACAATCAGTATGTAATTCGAAAAATTCTTTTGATTCCGCCAAAAGAATAAAACATCTCAGTTAGTCGGATAAATTCAGGGCTTCATATGATGTAACTTTTCGATTCACTAGTATTCCTCTACTTGAGGCAGTATACACTCAGATTGCCAAGAACGGAAATGAAGCATTTCCTGCTGATGTGGACTGGTGATGTTCAGTTCCAATTCGTCAGCGTCATATGTAACAAGTTGAAGGTGTGACTTTGGGAAACTCACTGGCATCAGTAATGGCAGAAATTTTCGTATCGCACTTACAAACCACTTTAAAACCTCCAAGCTATGAAACCATGTCTTGATGAAGATATGTAGACAATATCCGTATTATCTGTGAACATATTCAACAAACGAGGAAGCTGCTCAAACATCGCAACAACGCACATCATAGTATTAATTTTACAATGGAATGTGAAGAGAAGTAGCAGCTGAATTTTCTTGACTTAAGTTAGAGACATAATAAAAATGGTACAATAGAGAGGAGCACTAACCGCTAAAACATGAGATCAGTTCATGAAGTCTTTCACTGTTGGTCTGAATTGCGTAAGGGAAATTAAGATTTTCAGGTTGGGGTCGACATGAGAACAGAAGTCTATATCTGGAGACTCTGGGCAATATGCACAGATGCATATATATATATATATATATATATATATATATATATATATATATATATATATATATATATATATATATATATATATATATATATATATATAATCTTTATGCGAATCATCGTATCACACTTCGTTATCATTTTACCTCTCCTTTTTCTCTCTGTATCACTTTCTCTACTTCTGACTTTCTTTTTCATTCCTATTTCATCTTGGTGCCTTCTACCTTGGTGTGCTGACGAGGCGTGGCAGATTGGATCGTCACACAACAATATTAGTTTTCTTGTTGATGCTCAATGACTAACTGATGGAAATTGACATCACATGTGGCAGTTTAAGTCAGATAACGATGTGCTTATGCAACAAAACAGTTTTCGTCATATCGATTGTTTAATGCTATCACGTGCTATCACTAAACAACAGCTTAAGAACCCTCATTTACTGAATTACATCTAGCCCCATACTGATGCAACTGACATTGAATTTTGCTTTCATTGTGTTGTTGTTGTTTTACCTACTATTTGACTACATAAATCTTTTTTATTTCCGATTATTTTTAGACACTGAATTACTCAATTTATGGCTAGCAACTAGATTGCTTCTCTATGGTTGTCGTCAGTCTGCTGAATTATATACACTTCTGGGTGCTGTAAGGGAAGCTCGTGTATATCAAAATGAATTATTATGCATCAGTCAGCGGTTTCATTTGTGCAATTAGTAAGTTATCTTTTTAAGTGTAGTTACTTTTTTCCACTAAATGACTCGGTCAGAAATCACAAATCAATTTATCGTATCTATACTCAGTTCATTTCCCACTCTGTTGTTGCTGTTCATTTGAATTATTTGTTAAGATTGGTGTCGTCAGTTTTAAAACTTGTCTCTGTAATGTAATTTTTTACTGTTTATATGAGTTGTTTTCACTGAAAAATGGGGTCTCAAAAAATTAGACTAAACCTGTTTCTAAAATGTTTACACTACTCTTGCATTGCAATCTCATGAAAGAGTATGTAATAGCATTTGCTGGCTCTGTTATATCCAACAGTTGACATTAGTGTCCTTTGGATTACATTGAGTGACGATGAAATTTTAAACCTTTCCCACCAGCCTGTTGCAATGTAGCTGCACTGTTGAATGATTTCCTTTCAATATTCGTATTGACTTCGTAATCGTGTTTTCAGATATTACTCCCATTTAATGTTTGATTTTACTTTCTATTTTATCTCTGTCTTAGTACCCAAGTCGCCCTCAATTTAATGGCTCATTTAGACATGTTCGCACAACGTCGGTGGGCTTTCGAGTTACGTCTACTTCAGCTAAACCATATTGCAACATGTCATTTGTCTCTGGAAGAAATAGTGGGTAAAAGATCGAACCAGAAACGCCAGGCTAATCCAAACATGAGGTCGAATTATAAAAGTTCCAGTGATTCTGATGAGTCAGCTTTTATTCATTCAAAAGCATTTCCCAGTGAGTCTCTCGACAACAGTCTTGGGGATCATAAACTCTTCAAAGATGTGTCTGAACTGAACTCCGTATCACGTGATGCATTTTCTGATGGCTCTAATATGCTATTATCTGATAATTGTAATGAGCCTTTCAGGTCAATACTTCATAGTAGTCCAACAGAGCGTTTATTGGTGAACAAGAAAGTTGTTGTAATTAACGTTTATCCAAGTGCTACACAGATAGGCTCTGTGATTGCTGGAAGCTGCTGACATCTGACTGGAATACATGGTACGATAAGGGGTTTTATATGCCGAATTCTACGGATGTCTTCGAGTCTGTAAGTCATTCATTCCTCAGTGTTGGTGGTGTACCACTTGGGACTTGTGTTTGTTCGATTCTTAATGGAACGTTATGGCCTTGGTTATTCAGTTTGACCCAGTTAGTCCGAAAGGATCTTTTACCAGTACCTCACTATCTGCCTGCTTTGAACCCCATTTCGTCGAAACAAGCCAGTTCGTCTGCGAAGGTTTGTGTTCATGTGAGTGATAACATTTGTTTTTCAATATTTTTTTAAATGTTCAACTGAAAATGCATTTTGCCGCACATGGAAAAACCCTATCCAAAAATAGTATCATAAGTATTGGGCACCGAGTGAGAAGTTTACGTTAGATATAGGTTATATTTGTATTTACCCCCGCTTAGATTCTGCTTCTACATACTTTTGTCCATTCTAAAACTACTTTTTCGCCACCAACTTATTCTTTGCATACTATGGTGAAGCGTGATAACTTGAACCGATGCACTTCTATTTGAGATTCTACGTTGATTTCGCTCGATTTTCTGTGTAGGGAAACGTAGACTTCCCAGTTGGGGTCGTATAATAACAGAAATCAGCGGTCGGAAAATCTTTGTGCTGGTTTACCTAAACTTCTGGGCCACCAAATTTCTTCATCCTATGTGTTGCCTCGCCTAGCTAACTAGTTCACTAGTTACTAGCCGGTCCTAAGCCCACATAAAAGGGAAGGTTCGGCATAGGGCTAGCAACCCTACCCCGTAAAACAAATCTAACCACCAAAGAAACTTCAAAGCACAAACAAAATATAAAAAATAATAACAAAATTATTCCTCTCTGGAATCGGAGAGGCGAAATGATGCCAGTTGGTGAAAGCCTTCGAGAAGCCAATTGGTCGATGTGTCTTCTCTCGTGTGAAAGCGAAAGTAAACGTGTGGACATGGAATGTCTGCACGATGTTTGAACCCAGCAAGGCAGCCCAGATTGCAAGCGAGATGAAGAGGTATCACATTGAAGTGCTTGGAATTTGCGAAAGCAGATGGAATGGGAGTGGACTCTCCAAATTGTCAACTGGAGAATCAATAATCTACTCCGATATTGTCATCCAGACGACAATCACGAGCACACTGAGTTATTGAGTGGCTATCATGATGTCCCCTCGAAGAGCATCGAAGGCTGTCCCTCATGGAGTGAGAACCAATCTCCTCCTCCAGGATCAGGATCATAACAGCCAAGTTCAACTCAAAAGGAAGGAAGGTCACAATCATACAATGTTACGCACCTACAAATAATGCAGATGAAGAGAAGCAGAAGAAGGAGTTTTACAGACAACTTCAATCAACACTGGACAAGACTCCAGTTGACGATATCAAAATTCTAATGGGCGACATGAATGCGAAACTGGGGACAGACAACACAGGAAGAGAACCAACCATGGGTTGAAAAGCGCTCGGTGATGTGACGAACGAGAATGGAGAATTATTTGCAGAACTCTGTGCATTCAATGATTTGGTGATTGGAGGCGAGGTAGTGTGTTCAAGCACAAGGATATCCACAAAGCGATATGGATTTCACCAGACACCAGATGGACACAGTAGAAATCAGATCGACTTTATCTCAATCTGAAGAAAGTGTAGACGCAAACTACTTGACACAAGGTGAAGAAGAGGAGCAGATGTAGGTTCACACCACTCACTGTCTAGTGCAAGGAACCTTCCAAATCAAGTTGAAAGCCTTCAAGGAAGCTGGTGATAGGCGACGGTTGAAGTTCAACACCCAGAAACTGACGGACGAGACTACAAAGGACATCTTGACGTCAGTCAGCCATCAAGACAAAGTGGGAGATATCGAGTATTATCCCAGAAGAAACCTTTGTGGAAGAACACTGGAAGTCTTTGAAAGATGTGGAAAGAAACCTGCATAACCGTATTAGGAAGGAAGAAGAAAGAAGATAAGGAATGGATCTCAATGGACACATGGAAGCTGATAGATCAGGGAGAGGAGGATGGTGAGGCAGAAGATAAACCAGTGCAGTGCAAGGATGCTCAACGACAAGAGGAACTGAGTACACTGTATAAAACACTACACTGGACAGTTAAGTGAAGAAGAGTGCACGGAAAGACAAAAGACACTTCTACGAAACACTGGCAAGTGAAGGAGAACAGGCTGCAGGTAGGAGAGGTAGAGACCTGACAACATTGTATCAAATAACCAGGTTGCTATCTGGGAGGGAAGTGATCAACGCAGATGAAACCAATAAAAGATGATGGAGGGAAGTTAACTATCAAAGAAGAGAAACAAAGAAAACGGTGTGCTGACCACTTCGAAAAGCTCTTGAATCGACCACCACCTGTACTTCGTCCGGTGAACTATAAGTGAACATAAATCCTCCAACAAAAGTGGAAGTCTTGAACGCCATAAAGCTACTGAAATGCGGGAAAGCAGCAGGACGAGATGGGATTCCGCCAGAAGCACTGAGAACAGACGCAGAGACAACAGCAGACATGCTCACACCACACCACTATTGCAGAAGTTGTGGAAGGAAGAGAAGGTACCTGCCTGTCGATTGGTAGAAGGCCTATCTTGTCAAACTCCCGAAGAAGGGAGACGTCAGTGTTTGCAAGAACTGGCGTGGAGTCACACTCCTGTCCACCCGAAGCAAGCAAAATATTGAGCAGCATCATCCTGTAGAGACTAAAGGATGCACTGGATTCAAAACTACGACCGGAACAGGCAGGTTTCGGGAAGTACAAATCATGTGCGGACCAAATTTTATCGCTTTGCAACATCATAGAACAGAGTATAGAATGGCAATCAACTCTCCACCTCAACTTTATCGACTTTGAGAAGGCCTTTGACAGCGTCGACCGAGAGGTAATTTGGAAACTGCTTCAATACTACGGAATACCGTAAACCTTTATCAGCCTCATTCAACAACTATATAAAGGCGCCACATGCCAAGTAATTCACAATGGGAAGCTCAGTGATGCTTTTGAAATGAAGACAGGAGTGAAACAAGGTTGCCTACTATCCCCCATGATATTCCTGATTGTGGTCGACTGGACTGGATCATGCAGCAAACAGTAGGGAGCTGTGAGAAGAGGGGATACGCTGGCTTGACCGGGGATAAGAACCTAGAAGATCTGGATTTCGCCACCGATGACTTGTGCCTGATGTCACACAATTTTGAAGATCTACAGGTGAAAACTAACAAGTTGACCTAGGAGGCGAGGCAGCGAAGACGGGACTTCAAGTGAATATAGAGAATGCGGAGGTGATGAGGATACCCCACCACCACCAACAACAACAAGCTGCAATCACCATGAACGGGATAAACTTAAAGGAAGTAGCCTCCTTCACCTATCCAGGCAACACTGTTTCAACTACAGGCTGCACACACGAGGACGTCAAAGTCAGGATTGGAAAAGCAAGACAGGCCTTGATTAGCCTGAAACCAGTTTGGAGACCTTCTGCACTCAGCATGTGGAACAAGATCCGAATTTTCAACACCAACGTCAATTCAGTGCTCCTGTATGGTTCAGAGACTTGGCGCGTTACGAAATTGATTTCCAACAAACTACAGACATTCATCAACAACTGCCTACGCTGGCTCGTTACTGAAGATCAGATGGCCAGAATAAGAAGAATAAGCAACAAAGAACTCTGGCCAGGCAACGAACCAACCAAGAAGCTATCGCTGAACAAATATGCACTGGAAGGAAGTGGAGATGGGGACATCACGCGTCAGGCTGTTGAGTGGAACGCCGATGGGAAGCGACGAATTGGGCGCCCAAAGTGAGGGTGACGTGGAGGAGATCGTGCAGGGAGTAAATTAGAGCTTGTGGGCTGTCGTGGAGCCAGGTTGAACAGATTTCAGAGAACAGAGTGCATTGGAGAGGTGCTACTGAAGCCCTATGTTCCATTAGGAACCCAAGGGACTCATAATAAGGATAATAATGTATTGCATGAAGTTTATTTTGTCTTTGTTCTGATCGTCTAATTAAATCTCTAACGTATCAGATACTTACGTGAATGTTTCGAAAGTTATCAGTTTATCAGTATTCGTTTAACAAATGTAATTGAGAAGAAACATGGAGTGTGGCAGCACGCGTTAAAGTGTGCGAAGCTACATCAAATGACGCTGCCTAAAGTACTCTGCAAACTGCAGATCTCCAACGGGTAAGGTGAACTACTTGCAATGGGTTCTAGTTCTAATGTTTGTCGTAATGCTGGTGTAATGTTATTGCAGGAAACATAGTTGCACAACCTTATATGTTGATAGTTTAGTCTTTTTAAAGGGCTTCGAATGTTTCTCCAGGATCGGTGCAGTTCAGAAAAAACGTGTGTTGGATGTGTAGCTTCATCTTCCAACACTGATGCTCGTCAAATTATGCTTATTTCACTTATACATATGACAATATTGGCTGCATCACTGTGAAATGTCGTCCCAAACGTTTCGATTAATTCTTCATTTACGTCATCAATCTTTACTTGACTCCTGGTTGCAGGTATTCTGAATTATCTAGACTCGCTGACAAATTTATGAAATACACAGGTACCACAGTATGTGGTTCACTGTCTGTTGTCTGTGGTAATTTTAACTCTTATGACTGCAACTCTGTGTTCCCTTGGTCACAGAAATCTATTCAGTTTTTCATCTCGTTTTGATGCCACACTAGATTCGGTCTTCGTTAATGAAACTATTATATATAAAACTCGTAAACGTGCACCACTGCTAAAATTATATGGGAAACTGCAGAAAAGTACTTTTACATACCACTCTGAAAAGATTATACTCAGGAGCTATACGCACGATAACATACTCAAGCTCAGATTCATGTTGCCAAGACAGATTGGTGCAAATTTGAAAATGGTACATTGAATGATACAATCGACGTTGTTACATGTTATGTTAAATTTTATCTTCATATTTGCTGACATGCGTTTTCCAGAGTTTGATGGATTTCTCTTCAGTTAAAGAGACTGAAGAGAAAGAGAAAAACTATAAATCGAAGCATAATGCTGGCGCTAAACGACTTTACTAAGTTTTAGATGTAGTGCCTAAACTTATTCTATAACCAAATTATATCATGTAGTAGCTGTTACAGTATGTAAGGACTTTGAAGATCTTACTGGCTAAGAAATACTCAGCAATGAAGCCTACGTAAGCCTCTGCACTAAACCAATCATTCAAACCCAAGCCTGCCAACGTTATCTGGAGTTCTTCATATATGACAAAAGGCAGTTTTCCTAAATTCAAATGCTTAAAATCATTGAGAGCTTCGCATATCTTGGGACCGGATAGCATAACGGGTATTCTGTTTGACAAGTATGCTGATATTTTGTGTCACAAACGTTTTTAATTATTCCGCTGCCATAATAAGTATACCAACCGTCTAAAAGGAGATTAAAATGGTTCATGTACCCAAGTTCGTATCTTCTGGAAGAGATGTAAAATTCACCACTTCTAGAAGTAATTTAGTTGTTACTTCGTGTACTTGGACCGCCGTTGGAGGTTTCCGGTGGTCCAAATAAGTCTGCCGACAAACACAGAAGTACTATAGATGCTGCAGCTGTTTCTGCATAACATTATTTGCACTCTGGACAAAGGTGCTGATAATAATATACTTACTGTATTCGGAACCATAATTTTGTTTTCAGCACAAAATTCTTAGTATGATGATGGATTGGTGTACTCGTTGTCTAACACTTGCCAAATTCAAATCAACAATGGCGCTGGTTAACAATATGTGATAAAGAATAACTCGATTATTGAAATGATTATGACTTTAGGATTATGATAACTGTTTGCTATTACCAAGTTGATTGATAAGACCATTTCTTAAATTATTTTTTTCAAAGTAAACGAGTTAAATAAGTTAAAGTTGAATTTTTGTGTGTAATTTTGCTTACATAAAGTTAAATGTATTTGCTTCTTGTCTTCCTTGAGTACAGATATGGAGAGAGGTGGCGATGCAGAGCATGCTTGTCATCGGATAAAATATTTTTAGCCAGATGTCTACAAGAGTTCAGATGCCTTTGTATAATAGGATTTATCAGTGCGGTAAGTGGTGCATCACTCACCCTAATTTCAACCTTCAAATCCTCAGCAGTACAGCATATTCTTTACTGGTCCAGAAAAAAGTAAGGGGGAACAGTAAATAAGCATAGGTAAACCACAGAAATTAGAAAAACGCAAGAGTTATAGGCTGTTATCCCAGAAACTGAGTTTCCTTATACAAAAAGTCAAGTAAAGCATCTTCTTGGAAATCAGTAGAATATAAGGGGACTAAAACTGATCAGAAGAAAAGCATATGCCAAGATGGATAACAGCTGATGCATTCTCTACAACCAAGCTATCAATAAGATAAGAGTCATGGAACGGAAACAGTTCACATAAGTGTTGTTAACGTCTTAAGATGTTGACCATCTGACATTCGGAGAGATTGAGTGTAAGACCATTCAAGAAAAACTGTTAATCAATTTCGCTGAGAATGTTATTGAACTGAGAACAATCTAAAAATGTGATGACCTCATGTATACTGTCAGAGGATCCGCATACTTAACACAATTAGCTTTATTCAAGACGCGTGAATGTAAGAAAAAAAAGAAAAAGAAAGGAGGAAAAACAACATTATTGTGCACACCAAATTCCTTTGTATAAAGTTAACTGAGTTCTTTTGGAAAGATAAGGAATCAAAATGAGTTTCAGAAACCTTGCTCAACAAAAGCGGTTTAGCGATAAAATCAAAAGCAGATCGAACATACTTGGCACCTTTCTCAATATTGTCAGTAATCTTATGATGTAACACAAGTGCAGCATCTGAAGTACTCCTCTGCTTGCCAGCAAACAGTTTCACCACCGGAAGCCTCCGTGGGAGACTGATTTAGAGCACAGAAAGCCACTCAGGTGATCCCCACATTCTGAATCCTAGCTGAACGATTTCCTACTGGGAGGTGTCAACTGACCGCATGGTCCTAGTAGTATTCGAGACGCAGTCAAACATAATCTATCCATCTCAGCTCTTTCTCTTCCTGATATAGTGTTAAGCCTCTTACACCTTACCCAACCTCACTCTCCAATCACTGTGAACAATCAAAGCCATCGAAACCTCATTTCTAGTCTCCTAAGACTAGCCACCGATTTCATATCGGGGCTTTTAAGGTCCAAACTCTATTCCAAATCGGACAGCGAGCATCGCTCGCCAAAACTCTGGAATTTGGAGCTATGCATGTATGCTGTCTCTGAAACACATACTGAAACCATGTGTGGGTATTTAATTGATCTTCACCAGCCGTTGTAGTGAATCTTCAAAATCACCTTCACAGTATCCGGAGTTCCAATGACTAGCTCACATGGACTCACTGGAGTAGGCATAGGATTGAATTGTAGAGCAGAAAGCACACTGACTGAATACAAGTAAACTGGGGTCTCTACACTGTTCGACTGAATTTATCTGTAAGAACTAGGAAGGTTCATGGGACTAAGTGATGCCTATTTGCAATGACAACATACTCATCCACCGAATGCAGATCGGAAGATGTAAGGGATAGATTCTATGAGAAGCGCACACGTTTACGCAAACTTAAATGCTGAGTTATCGTTTCTGATGAATTTCATCATAAGCTGTCAATTTCGCCACAGAAATCGCATCTTTCAAATCTAGTCATAATTGCAGGTGACTTTAACAATCAAGTATGGAAATTGAGCCAATGGAAAAGACATCTTGGGTGTATTCATGAAATCCCTTGCCAACGGACCAACAACGCTGGTCTTCTGTTATAATTTTGTTCTTTCAATTACTTGTTCCTGACCAGCACTAACTTCAAGCATAAGGAAGAAGTGCTATCCCACATGGCGTCCACTGAAATCAAGCTAACGATGGACACACATAGATCACATTACTACACGCCATCGTTGGAGAGGATCGGTGGGGGATTGCCGCTCTGTTTGGAGTGTGTGGCTGTAAAGGGAATATCAAGCAAGCATGTAACGATAATCAAAGCTCTTTACTGAAATTCACGCAGTTGTGCATGGGCTTATAGAGAGTTGTCATCAGAAATGGCGACAACTAGTAGTGTCTGTCATGGCTTCTGTTTAACTTCGTTCTAGGCGTACCAACATACAAAACTTTAGGTATGTTTGACTTCACAGGGATTGATCTACTCCCTGGAGGTCATGGGCTGACTTGAAGTATGCAGAAGATCTTTTTTCGTTGATGTTGACAAAATACAGGGTCTTTTGAGTGAGTTGAGGAGAAATCTGAGTATGTTTGACATGTCTTTCGCACCTGTCAAGTGTGAGATAATGCTTCGGGACTAGTTTGCAACAATAGGGAGTGGAGCGAAGGATAGTGTCTTCCACTTCAATCACCTGGGGAGTTGCACTAACCTGAACGGACTGGTTACTGACTAAATCTCACCTAGGACATAGAATACCCTTTTGACATTTGCCAACTTGCATTATCTGTGGTCCCGGCGAGATACCCGACTATCTATCAAAGGACGCGTATACTACGCTGGAATCCGTTCTGTTCCCTTATACTCCTATGAGACATGACCGTTAAAAGTAGAAGACATGAGGCGGTTACAAAGTTTTTATCCACGGTGTCTTCGTAGCATTGCTCGCGTCTGGTGGAGTCGCCGTGTGATCAATGTTGGAGTCAGGAGAAGAGTACTAAGCAAGATAGACAAGCCGATTGATGAAGTTGTAAACGTTCACGAGCTGAGATGGCTTGGGTATGTGTTACGGGTGTCGAGCAGCTACCTACCTGGACGTTCAATGCTAGGGGAAGTTGGATTAGGTTTGTAAAGGGTTCCGAGTGGTCGGACAAAGACGTGGGACCAGTCGACGAAGTCCTTGAATGTTGACCTGAGTGGTGTTGGGAGATGTAGACCGCCGGGGTGAGGTACCGAAAACAATTGGAATAAGTGGTTGGAAACCTTTGATGACGTGACCGAGAATCGATCACAGTGACGCAGATGTATATTCATTCATTGACGTCTTTTTAATCTTGAGTATTTGTACTAACCGTTATCTTCAAATCGTTTATTCTGTCACACAACTTTGTCTACCTTGATATCAGTCTTTTTCTACCTACTTGTTCTTTGCATGCCATTGCATTTGTATGCAAAGTTCAATGTTCATTTGTCTGTCTGTCGTTTCCACTTGAATGTAATTCGTTTGTTTGCGATTACTGTACTTGGGTTTGTTTTGGTTTTCCGTCTTGCATAATTGGTTTAAGTTTCTGAGAATGTTTGTGTGGAACAACGCTTGGATTAAATTGCAACTTACTTCTGTAATGATTAAGTCAGACTGTGTGCTCGTGGGTTTGCGAATTATTCGTGATAACTCAGTACTGGATGTACGTGGGTTAGTTTTCGTATGGCGAACAGAAGGTTTGCTTCACAAGTGATAGGTCAACAGTTTTCTAGCTTATTTTACCTCAGATTGTGTGCACCGATTCTAGTGTTCATGCTGATATACTTATGTGGGAAACTTTATCTGCTTCCTAGAAGAAAATGTGGTTTTTCGCCGTGAGGGATTCTAAACTGCGTTTTGCTCAATCGAATAGACCTAGTTAAGGTCATTAAATCTCGTGTTTTGTTGCATATTGCATACTTTCTGGTTTCAGATTGGTGGTAGTTATATTTTAGAAAGTATTCATTTTGCATTCGCGGACTCGTTACAAACTTTTACTTGTACAATATATTAAATACAGGTGAAGAGTGAAGAAGATCGGAACCTCATTGATGCATTCGCTTCGCTGAACACTTCCCCTAAGGAAAATGCTGCAGACGCGTGCAAAAGTGAGAGAGGAAAGGTATCACCTCAGCTGAATTCACCAAATAGTCTACATACTGGGAAACAGTTGTTGCCTCCTACACCGAAACCAAACGCTCCTCGACGTTTAGCAGATATTCACAGTAAGGTTGCTTCGAGTACCGTATGCAGTAACCAGAGCAATGGAAACCGCTACCGTACTTCTCGTAAGTGATATTATACCCAAGTGGAGTTTTGTATTCCGTAGGTTAGTTTACGTGTGAATTTATTGTATACGAAGAAAACTTGCCAGCAGTGTAGAGTTTAAACTTTTATTCTACTCATTATTTTTGTCATAGTATATAGAGACATTGAAATCCAAGACTTTTTTGCGACTGTGTAACTTCGTTTCCATTAATGATCACTAATCTTACGTTTTTAACGTAGTCATCATTCTGTCAATCAGGTTGTTCGGCTTACTTATTGCTAAAGCGGGTAAAAAGTGTTTACTCGTGACTATCAATCAATTTATCAGTTGTTTGGTGACACTTATTTTGCCCATATTATCGCTTCCCTGCTCATAACCGCACTTCCTTATACTCATCATGCAATAAACTGATTTATCGTTTAATCAACTTGTCAACAAAGTAACACAGATAGTTCATGCTTATATTTACAAAGTGATTGTGTCTGACAAACAGACAGCAAAGGAAGATTCTGCAAAAATGTTACTATACTTCACATTAGCACGCAAAGAAGAAACTCAACGGAAATGGCTGGCATTATGTTAATGCATCATATTGCGGTATCCTGCTTAACGGCTTAGAGCACTCGAGAGCTGAACTTCGTGTCCTGTATACATCGAGAGTTTTAAGTAATGGAGTTTTTGCGACCACCTTATGCTTAAGTTATTTGAAATGTGTTAACGAAATCTTGTTCCCTCCCTTATCTGTGTCTTTTGAATACTCTATCTGTGTCATGCATTCATGAATTATCGAGTGGTGCTTATCAAACTAGATAAAGGCACTAATGAACGAATCTGATTATGATCGAACGATGTAATCCATTCTGGAAGAAAAGTTTAGGTGGGTACTTTAGAGTTGGAACAGTGATATAATATGTTGATTGGAGAATAAAGTAACCAAACAAATAAAAGAATTACCAAAAAAGTTTATCGGTGGTCAGACATGGAGAATTGGAACCGCAAGGTTCACGCGTGCATTCACTTGTGAATAAGCAAAGCTTCATAAACTCAATGTGCCTCCTGCATCCATCTTTTGCGTGATCAACTTCCACTGTCACAAACAAGTTCGGTTGTTGACAAATCAATTAGGTCGCTTTCGTAAAATACTAGCAATCAATAGCGTTAAATGTACATTTGAGCTTACGCCAAAAATAGATGAAACACGTATCTACTACAATTTAATGGCATCCTGCAGTATGTTGTCATTGTATGCCAACGTACCGCTGAGAAAAACTGATATTGTTTGTCCGCGCTTAGATAAAATATCCTTGCTTAAGAATGTGCGTTTTGAGTTGAACAATATTCTACCGCCAACTGGATGGAGATCGCTTCCCACGGATATATTTATTTGAAAATTGGAAAGGAATGCATTAATCCCAGTTATTAGTCAAACGTCAGTGTATAATAGGTATGTCATTGATACATTTATTTTGTCATGACATGGATCATGTCACAAAGCTGCTAGACATATTTACTAATCCACGTATGATGGCTAGACTAACCATGGTAGATGATTTTCATACCTTAAACGTGGGATTTTGACGAAGAAGAGATGGGTTGTGTCAGAGACCCATTTGGGAAAAGAAACATGGAGTGGACAGTATCTCCGTTTTAGGAGAAGATTTTGTTCACATGGCAAAAGGAAGAAATTCAGTTCACCGAGAGAAGTCTAAAAGAAAGTGGTTACTCTAATTAATTTTTAGTCTAAGTCAAAAGAAGAACAGTGGCGACAACTGACCCCAATAATCCCGAGAAGAAACCTTTGTTTCTCTGTTTTGCTTTCAAAGTGGGTTACAAACTGATGAACTGGGTCAACAGAGAACTGAAAACTGCACTAATAACCACTTTTCCAGCAAGTAAATTAGTTTTCATAATATAAGTTCGTTTAATCCTAGGGTGTTTAAATCTTGTTTTGATTTTCTAAGCACACTGGGATTATATTAAAACTTACTTATATAGTGATTAAATCAAACTGGGTACTGAAATTCTTCCACAACATTCGCAACGCCTATGGCCTGGATGTTTACAAATTAATTTTCGTATACAGAACAAGAAGTCAACAGTTTCCCAGTTCATTTTTTCTCGAATTGTACTTGTTCCGGTGTACATGCTACGACAGGTATATCGGAAGACAGATGAGGTGAGAGAATAAATTTCCAAAACTTATTCTAATGCATTTCGACTCAGTGGCTCAATGGAAACGTGCTCGCCCCGAAGCCTAAAGGCTTTGGAGTGCGACTTGTGACGGAGTCATAGGTGTGCCCAACTGAGAAGTCTTATACTAGAATGGGACAGCGATCTAGTGCCCCCTTATTTCTCAGTGGCTTTACAACTTATTTCAGTCTGTGATGAATACTGCTCTGATATCAATATAATCCCCACAAACCTATAAAAATTCCAAATAATTTCAGCATAATTGTGTCAAATTGTCTTCGAAGTCCTATTGCCAGACGTTTCAATGGATACAGGACACGAAGTTCAAAGTGCATTCCAGATAATCAATAGAAAAACATTGATGTATATCTTTCATCTTCTTATTGCTATAACTTTCATTTTTACAGCCTGGTAATAGATTTTGATAACCACTCTGCACAAATCTCTGTTACACGGAAAATAGTCAATTTCAATTATAAATTTTCACTGAGTATTGGGTTTACGATCTTTCATAGTATCATTCAATAATAAAACGTTTTTATTTTGATCACTTTTATCTGTCTTTCTTGTCAGGTCACTGTCAACGCCGATAACTGGATGAATCGTTGTATTTCCATTTCTAACCACTGGTTTATTTTCGTCACTTATCTCAAATAGTAGTCTTTGTTACTTTTTTTTGTAACAATAACTTTCGATTTTCCATACTTATGAGTTCTCATTGGACATGAGGATACCTCTTGTCATTGTTACTATTACTTCCACAAAATATAGCACATATTTCAGTAGCTATACCTTGAGGTTACAATACTTGAATAAGGCTGCAGTCGTGTACTCGTATTATGTTCTGGCTGTGTTTTTCAACTTAGGACTCATGTTATAACTATTCACTTTCATAAATTCTAATTCTTTTATATCTCAAGGTCGTCTACAGGCTAACAGAAATTCTGAGAATTTCAAAGTACCTCTCATATCCTCACGAAGAAGTGTTCACCGTTCTCCTAAAGAAGCTCTACACAGTAAACCTCTGAATATGGGGACAGGTAATATTCCAAGTGACCAGGATTCGAATGCAGAATTGTTACAATTACTTGGTCTTACTCCTCGAAAAACAGCTAACTCTCAACCTTCTCAATTCAATTCTGTTAATTGTTCAAAAAAAGGAGTGAGTTAATATTGTTAGATTTTTGTGGAGTATATTCTGTATCAAGACGACAAATTCTCTTTTACTTTGATCCATCAACAAGTTACCTAGTAGGTATTGATTTTTCTTTGCGTCGAAATGCTACTCAAAAATTCAATTTTCAGTTATTCACACTTCATCTCTTTTACTAGGGTCAGTCAAACCTCAAGTTTTCTAATCCTCGATCACTTTGAGACTTCTATCATTTTAGTTTGTTCGCAAACTAGTAGTGCCTCGTTTTTTGTATTGTTTTAGGTTCCATGCACTGTGTAGTGATACTGTGAAAGAACTTCTTTCTTAAAAGATGTTTGTCTTAAGATTCATAAATGTGTAATTTAGACTGATTTTCTTGCGAAACAAAAATAGCGTAGCCTGAAACATATCTACGCATGAGGCTGCAAGTCACACATATTGTGTAAGGATTTATGATACTGCTCGGTTGTTCAGGCTGTTGGCGAGGTGGATTTTAAACAGGCGTCCTACAGCTTTAGAGTTGAATATTTAATTCACTAAGTCATCTCTAATTTTTAACCACTTTTCACTATCCACATTTAATCTACTCCTTAAAAACCACTTTTTTCTCGTCAGTCACACCTTCCAACCTTCGGTACTATAATTGTACTTTTTATTCCAGATAAAGTATAAAAGTATGTTGGCCTGAGGTTACCACACTTCACAGTATCATGCTGAGAAATAGTGTATGACAGAG